TTGCTTTTATGTTGTTTTTTTTTTTTTTTGCTTTTATATACTTTATTTTATTTACCATTTTTATTATTTATAATTGCTCAATGTTTCTTTTTATTTGTATCCCACTGTACTTTGTAAACATATTTTTTGTTTAACCACCCAGCTGTGACTATGCAGTACCGGTTGGTACTATATTTTAGTACTAATAAAGATTATTGATTATTATTATTTATCTTTATTTACAAATCTAGCTGCGCCACCATGTGCATAAATTATAAAGAAGAACTCAATTTAAATTAATATGCCTCAATGTCCTTAATTTATTGTAATCTTATTTCATTTACTAGTATGTATCTATTAACAGTACTTATTATACTGCCTTTAAGGATACTGCAAGTCAGTTTCACATATTATAAAATTATTGTTTTACCTGTATTTAATTCACCTGGACACACAAATTTTAATATTGTGTTTCAGACTTGTTCGTCCCTCATCAGCAGGTATTTATATGACACATTCTACATAAAAATTAAAAAAATTTACTGACAGTAATATAAAATTCTTACAATTATAGGGCTAATTCTTTCCATTTTAATTTTCACCCAGCAATTAAATTTAACCATTATTAACAGTGACCTTTCTAACAAATTCCTATATTAAAAATATAAATTATTGAGTTAAACAATAAATTTACTATGTTGTTTTATATTTAAATTCTATTACAACACTTACATTTCCGATTGTTCACCTTGACTTACACTATGGCTCAACCTGTTTTTATCATTTTCTTTATACGTCACACTTTCCCCTCCCTCTATCAATCTTCTCCATGATTGGTGTATTTCCGTTCCAGTGTATTCTTAAATAAAACAATAATTTTATAATCTGTGAAACTGAGTTGCGGTATCCTTAAAGCCAGTATAATAAGTCCTGTTAATAGATATGTACCAGTGAACAAAATAAGATTACAAGAACTCAATTTGTTCGTCACCTGGCAGGCCCTGATTGACACGGACCTTTAATCGCCGTCTACTTGCATCATATGCGCATGTCCAATCCAACGATTTTAAACCATGAGTGGGTTCGATTTTTGTTTAAATATCGATATTCTATTTTTGTTCTGCATTCCATTGCTTTTTATTGTCTTAAGAAGAACTAGTAAGATTCGAAAATGATATTTATTCATCTTTTCTCCAACAACAGTAACTGGTTGAGGTACATGTTGATTTCATCACAGTGTTTTGTAAAGGTAGAAGTTTACCAAGTTTTAATGAAGCTAAAACTGAACAAAGTTTAAGTGACACATTTGAAAATGAAGCTTAAAAACTTTCAAGATGTCTATTTAATATTAAATTTAAACAATATACAGGAAATAAATCATATTCAAGCATGAACAAATAAAACAAAAGTTGATATTAAATTGTTCAAAAATTTGATTTGTTACTTATGAAATTTTTGACAATATAACTTATCATAACATTACATGTAAAATTCAATTTTTCAAGTTTGTTTATAAAGTTCAATTGTTGTATATACTTGTAATATTTTTATTTTTGTGGGAGATCTTTAGTTAATCATCATCATAAATTAATATATTTATTTATTTGAGAATTAAAATATTTTAACTATTATTAATTCAATTTAATGTAAAAAAAAATATGTCATTCATTTGAAAGTAAAAGAAGAATCTTATTTTACATCAGTAATAAAATATGTATTATTTTAGGATACTCCTTTGTCAGAAGATCATAATGTAGTATCTTCATCAAGTCAAGAAACACCAGTTGCAAAAGTAACAGTTGCAACACAGACAAAAAAGGTAATAAATTAAATGTATATAAATTTTAATATTAATGCCATTTTATTATTAATACCATAAATACTCTTTTAGGGAATAATTGTTCCCTAAAACACTATTTATGCATTAATTTGCCCAGATGAGCTCAAGGTAGGATATCCATCTACTAGTATGAGAGATCTGGATATTGATCTGGATCCTCTTGAATTTTATGAGCAGTATTGGTCAATATGTTTCTTAATTTGACTGCAAATCAAGTGCCCAAAGTGGACATAATGGAAATTGGTTCATATAACCCTTAATATATAAATGCTCACAGCATTTATAAGCCAATTATTCAGTTTATACATCAACATATTCATCTCAGTTGAAGATAGATATTATAAGGTTCTTTTTCATTATGCGTTATAATTTATTTAGCTAGAGGTGAAAGGCATGTGACATTGTCTTTCTGCACAGTAGCTATTATTGGAAGAAACATCAAAACTAAGTCTTCATCTATGCAAGATTTATGGGGTATGATCTATTTGTATTTCTGCAACAAAGTGAATCGATTAATGCTAAGAAATATTGTTAAGAAATTAAAACAATATAAGATAAACTATACATTAAAGAGCCAGCATTGGTGAATAGGTATGGTGTATGGTGCAGCTGCACGACAAACCAGGCCACATGATGGATGATAGACAATAAAAAACAATTGACAGAATTGAACTGCAGAATTTTCCCTCATTCAACTTATTTTCCAGACCTTTTGTCAACAGATTACCATGTTTTTAACATCTTGATAGTTTTCTGGAGGGAATCTTCAGCAAAGAGGACACTGTAAGTAGTGCATTTGATGAATTTTTGACCTCTTGTTCTCCTGATGATTATCGTATTAGTGTTAATACACTTATATTGTATTGAGTTGATGGAGACTAATTTGATTGCGTACACATATATTAAATTTCATTAATTAATAAACCTTCAAATTCAAAAATAAAAATTGGCAATTTCATTTGCAGCAATCCAATAAAATATTTTTCTATTTTATACAATTCCGTATCTAAGTTTTAAAGCCTATTAAAACTGTTTTCAACATTAATGAATAATTACTAATTTAATTATTGAAATTATTTTATTTTCATGTTTATTTATTCTAATCATTATCCAGAAATGTAGTTTAAAAATGCTTTGCTACATTGTTATTTTTTTTAATGTATGGGAAACTGAAAAAGCAATACTATAGTCATTTCTTATTGTTTTAATTTACTGCATTTGTATTTGTGTCTAATAAATATAAATACAAAAAATTAATTAAAATAATAAATATCTATATAAAAATTCAGTAATAAATAAATAAATAAAATGTTTCTAATTTTATGCTTATTTTTAACTAATAATTTTTTATACAGTTTGGAGGAATGGGAAAAGAACTGGAAAACAACAATGAGTGCAATTGTAGTGCAAAATATTCAAAAATATTCAGAGATTTTAGAGAACGATTAGAAACTGAACATAAAGAAGATAAGGAAAGATCTTTGAAGGATCTGACAGAAAGGGTAAGTTCAAAATACATGTAATAAGAGCATATTAATCAGTTTACAGCTGGTTTATAACAAATATCCATTGTAAAATTACATTTAGCTATACAAATCCATTAATGAAGAATGTAGTTTGCTCTGCTATTCAAGTATCTGCTAGATTCAGGTTATATATCACTGATTAATTCTGAACAATTAAATTATAACACATTCAGTTAAAAAGCAAAATGACATCAGAATCTAAATAGAATTTTCACAGTGAGCAAGTAAATACAAATTGACATTTACGAAAGGTTGCTTTCCAACAGATAGTGATTCAATTATATATAAAATTAAAAATGCTAACAACAAGTTAATTTGAGATGTATTTTATGAATAAGAATTCCTTAAAGTTTTAAAATAAAAGGATGGATTTAGTTTCAATAATTTTACATTGGTTGATTGATTCACCTAACTTCAGTCTGTTTGAAAATTCTTTATTACTTTATTATTTTCTAAGTAAATGAAGACCTTAGAAGCTATTTCTGCAAAGAGAATGTTGAAAGGAATGATTTTTAGTTGTAAAATATAAGTCTAAATGTTTACACTAAGCACTCTAAATAGCTATACATCAACCAAAGCCGAATATTATTGGGCTAGAAACAGCTATAATACTAATGATTTAATAGACAATTTGGTATTAGAGTTAGGTGTTAGTTCCATCTCTTGATAAATGTAATAATTATAAATTAATTAAATAATTTAAATAATAATTTTAGAATTACTGGAAGAAAAGAATCTGCCTAAAGTGGGACTCAAACCCGCAACTCCTGCTTACCATGCAGATGCATTGCCAATTACATTACCCAGACCTTTGGGGTAGTGTAATTGGCAATGCATTTAATGCTATATATCGTTAACTTATATATTCTAACGATATATAAGCTAACGATATATTAGTATTATAGCTGTTTCTAACCCAATAATATTCAGCTTTGGTTGATGTATAGCTTTAAATGTATCGGGTGTAGTAAGGATGTTTGATTATGCACTCTAAATATTTAATGTGTTAAAATCTTTAAAAATCTTTAAGAATCTTTAAAAATATTTTTGTGAAAATGGCTTCATTACATTTTAATATAAAACAGATATTTTAAGGAATTGTAAAAATTTCACAGTTGATGAAAAATTCACAACAGAGTCAACTCTAAGGAGGATAAACTCCGACTTTAGCAGCGGCCTACAAGTAAGTCTGTTGTGAGGTATATGCTTTATTGTCTGTGGAAATTTTTTCATCAATTGTGAACATTATTATGGTTTTTTTGAAACATTTATTTTAAATTTGTATAAGGTAAGTTTTTGGAGAGTGATTAATTGTACATTGTAGAATATTTCACAAAGTATGATTTTATAAGATTAGTAATAAATTAAGTCAATAATTTTGATTAGCATAGTATTCACAATTTTATTTCAAATTAAAGATTAAAAACAAATTTATTGTACTAAAAACTGATAGATACAGGGTTCCTACGCACCTGGAAAGTCAGGGATTTTCATTAGTCGTTGTAAAAAGTCGTGGAATTTCAAAGAAAAAAGTGAGGAGAAGTTGGAATTTGTTTCCTTGGTTGCCTTGTTGATTTTGTTTGCTGACAGTATGGCTGACCAAGTGTAGCTGTCTGCAGGCAGCAAGAAGTATTGTGGTACAATGCAACTTATAAAAAGGAGTGCAGAATATTTACAGGATCCAAAATTTCACCCAAACACAAAATTTCCTCAAAATTATAGCATACAAAATATACAAGCATACAACAGTATCAATTGTTATTTTTAAATTTTAAAATACTTTTAGATTTTAAAAAGATATTAATTATGCAGTATTATAAGTTTGAGAGAAAAATCTAATACTCCTAATAATCTAACTTTAATAAAAATTTTTGAAAAATTGTAATCTCTCTATCTCTCACAATTTACACTTTCAATTTGAGGGCAGGTGTTATTAAACTGATGAAAACAAATGATAACAATGAACCAAAAATGATAAATAACTTTAATATTAATTCAAATGGTATTATTTATCATATTTCATTTTAATAATTTTGATTGCACAATCAAAACAATTTCTGATTTCTGAAACTTTTTCCAGTTTATTAATATTTTATAAAGTTTGAAAATTTATTAAGGGACAGATTTAATAAATTCATACTTTTGTACATGGATTATACAGAATTTTTTAATAATAATTAATGGCTTTCTTTTTTCAAAGCCATGAAGTTTTGCAGTTATGAGTTAATAACAGGATAAATTATTTTTATTTAATAAAACATTTTACTTTTATGTAGAGAAGACATCCCATAATTCTTTCTTATTTTAATTTGATTAATTCATTGATAATAAAAATTATATAACTGTTAATTAGAAAAAGTAATTAGTTAAAAAGTTGGAGAGTAATAGTGTATGTGTGGAGTAAGTCAAGTGATGTTTTAGTTTGTTAATGTGCCATACCATGAAGGATGTGATAGTCAGGGAAAGTCAAGAAATTTAAAACAAAAATTTGAGTAGTAACCCTGTACATATTTTTTAAACTTTAATTCCATTGGAGTAGAATTCTTTTATTTTGATATTTATCAAGTAATTTTGTAAAAGAATGGAAAATAATGTCACAATAAATAATTGGTCATTATCATCACAATACCAGGCTGCTATTTTTAATCATATTTCTAATTAACTTAATTTAAATTATATGTTTTCCACTTCAAATTTGTAGTGTCTTGCCCCTGTACATCATACTTTTCTTATTAGCAATAGAGTTGTGCCAGTCATTTACATCAGGAAAAAATTTTTGAATTGAAATAAAGTGACTTACAGAAGTTCATATATTCTAAAGGTAAAAGTGAAGAGAATTCTAAATTTTAGAATTCTCTTCACTTGCAGCATGGCCAGTGGCTCAGTGGGGACGTGCTGGTTTTATAATCATAATGTTGGTGAATCTTGATGGTATCAATGTTGTTTTTTCCTAAAACTATAATTTTCACTTTATGATTGGCATTTTAAAATTTGTTATACTGTTGGAGAAAAAAACTGATTTATTTTTACAAAACTACAAATTTACAACAAACAGTAGTAAAATAATAAATTCCATCTGTTTCAAGTAACAAGTGATATCTAACAATATTTATTTAAAAGAAAACATTTTCTATATATGCGTGTACAGATCTTACTTATTCTGGCAACAAAACCTTTGTTTAACCTAAATGTATCTAATTGCATCTTTGTTTGCTAGAGAACAAAAGGACAACTTTGATATCTTGTGCTAACATTAATAGCATAGAAATGTGTTCTGCAGATGAATAATTGCATGACAGTATTATAGATTTACATATTGTGAAAGCATCCTTCCAAATTAAGACCTAATTGCAGCTGATGGTTCTTGATCAATTTCAGAAATTGCAAAGGCAGTAGGAAAAAAAACATTAAGTGCTCTGATATTTTTTAATGTGATACAATATGAGTGATTCCCTCCAAATTAGTTGATGATGGAGAAGTTTTTTAAACATCAATCAAGTTTGTGTTTCCAGTGAATAGTATGTAAATCTTATTATAAAAATTTACATTTATTCAATGCGCACGTTACAGAAATGTTTATTGTTTCACATGCTTCTACAAAAATTATCATCCACAAAATTGTGCCCCTGGAAAGCAGAATTAATAATGTTGTTATTAATAAAATTAGCTTTTAATAATAATTTTGTTTATATCTAATCCTCTTCCCAAATAAATTATAAATAAATGTTAGTACAGATCCTATATGTACATGAATATTTGAAAATAATTTTTAAATAAATATAATAAATTTAAAAATACCAGGAGAAACAGTTGATTGGCGACACAATGCCAGCTGTTTACAATTGTCCAAATTGGCCATAACTAAGCTGGGTGGGTAATTTTGAATTGTGAATATACTGATATTTTGAATAATGTATAATGAGTTTTTAATCAGACATTTCAAATGCATAATTTGAAACATACTGTATAATTATAAACAATTATAAACATACTGTATATATCAGTTTATATAAACAGAACCAGCAATTGTCAAAAATAATTATTAGTTTACATTTCTCATGGATGATCTTCACATGTAATTTTCAACAAAATCTGAAAATTAAATTATACATTACATTGAAAATATAATATAAATGAATATATTATTTGCACAAAATTTTCTCAAACTGTAGCTGTAATATCAATAATATTTATACTAGTCTTTTTTATGTAGTAAGCTTTGTTGGTTCAGATTTGTGCATGGCCAACAGACTGGAACAGTTGAATGGTTGAAACCTACTGTATTGATCAGTCTATCGCTCAAGGGTCTGGGACAAAAAGCAGAAAATTAACCCCAGGAATTTTTCATGGGCAGTCTTTCCCAGATATGATGCTTGTCCCTCATTATGTGACCATTCTCACATTGCATGATAAATATGATTAAAAAGACCTACTTAGTGCCTTTTGACTCTTTACCCTCTTAAAGGGCAGAGAATTAAAAGATGGAAAAGAATATTGGCTAGCTACATCGAGTTTCCCAATCTCACATGTCACATTCAAGTAGGGGCGGTAAAAATGTCCTCCAAGAATCAATTTCACTGGCAGATTTTCGTCTTTTTAACACATTAAACCAAACCTTTCAGATAAATTCAGTTGACCCTGGGAGGTTCGTAATGAGCAGATTGAGAATTTGGATCTAGATTTTGATTTATTGTCAGAAAAGCATGTTATATAGAAAATAATTATTACCTTATTTTTTTATTGTAAACTGTATGCAGCTAATAATGCTGCTAATACATACATGATATAATCTGTATTAAATTCTTTTTATGTTGAAATGTGGTTCGTATTTGTTTTCATTGCAAATACAGATTAAGTATTTTTAAGGATATGTAAGATTCAGTAACTTATATGTTAATTAAAAAACAATTATTTTACTCTTATTTTACTTTTCTTCTTACTTATATCAACTAACTTTCATTTTATCATCATTAAATAAAGAAACTTCTCATAATTTATGTATTTGCTTTTCTTATTTCATATTAGCTAATTTTATGTAAATTTATNCATCACGTACATAAACAATGTCATAATTTGCCAAGTGCAAATCAGCAAAATTTTTGTTTATTTTGAACAATCCGGGTAATCGAAAATCCGGATAATCGAGGTTCTACTGTATTTTGTAATTAAGGCTCGTATTCCTATTCACTTTATTGCTTTTATGTGTTTTTTTTTTTTTTTTGCTTTTATATACTTTATTTTATTTACCATTTTTATTATTTATAATTGCTCAATGTTTCTTTTTATTTGTATCCCACTGTACTTTGTAAACATATTTTTTGTTTAACCACCCAGCTGTGACTATGCAGTACCGGTTGGTACTATATTTTAGTACTAATAAAGATTATTGATTATTATTATTTATCTTTATTTACAAATCTAGCTGCGCCACCATGTGCATAAATTATAAAGAAGAACTCAATTTAAATTAATATGCCTCAATGTCCTTAATTTATTGTAATCTTATTTCATTTACTAGTATGTATCTATTAACAGTACTTATTATACTGCCTTTAAGGATACTGCAAGTCAGTTTCACATATTATAAAATTATTGTTTTACCTGTATTTAATTCACCTGGACACACAAATTTTAATATTGTGTTTCAGACTTGTTCGTCCCTCATCAGCAGGTATTTATATGACACATTCTACATAAAAATTAAAAAAATTTACTGACAGTAATATAAAATTCTTACAATTATAGGGCTAATTCTTTCCATTTTAATTTTCACCCAGCAATTAAATTTAACCATTATTAACAGTGACCTTTCTAACAAATTCCTATATTAAAAATATAAATTATTGAGTTAAACAATAAATTTACTATGTTGTTTTATATTTAAATTCTATTACAACACTTACATTTCCGATTGTTCACCTTGACTTACACTATGGCTCAACCTGTTTTTATCATTTTCTTTATACGTCACACTTTCCCCTCCCTCTATCAATCTTCTCCATGATTGGTGTATTTCCGTTCCAGTGTATTCTTAAATAAAACAATAATTTTATAATCTGTGAAACTGAGTTGCGGTATCCTTAAAGCCAGTATAATAAGTCCTGTTAATAGATATGTACCAGTGAACAAAATAAGATTACAAGAACTCAATTTGTTCGTCACCTGGCAGGCCCTGATTGACACGGACCTTTAATCGCCGTCTACTTGCATCATATGCGCATGTCCAATCCAACGATTTTAAACCATGAGTGGGTTCGATTTTTGTTTAAATATCGATATTCTATTTTTGTTCTGCATTCCATTGCTTTTTATTGTCTTAAGAAGAACTAGTAAGATTCGAAAATGATATTTATTCATCTTTTCTCCAACAACAGTAACTGGTTGAGGTACATGTTGATTTCATCACAGTGTTTTGTAAAGGTAGAAGTTTACCAAGTTTTAATGAAGCTAAAACTGAACAAAGTTTAAGTGACACATTTGAAAATGAAGCTTAAAAACTTTCAAGATGTCTATTTAATATTAAATTTAAACAATATACAGGAAATAAATCATATTCAAGCATGAACAAATAAAACAAAAGTTGATATTAAATTGTTCAAAAATTTGATTTGTTACTTATGAAATTTTTGACAATATAACTTATCATAACATTACATGTAAAATTCAATTTTTCAAGTTTGTTTATAAAGTTCAATTGTTGTATATACTTGTAATATTTTTATTTTTGTGGGAGATCTTTAGTTAATCATCATCATAAATTAATATATTTATTTATTTGAGAATTAAAATATTTTAACTATTATTAATTCAATTTAATGTAAAAAAAAATATGTCATTCATTTGAAAGTAAAAGAAGAATCTTATTTTACATCAGTAATAAAATATGTATTATTTTAGGATACTCCTTTGTCAGAAGATCATAATGTAGTATCTTCATCAAGTCAAGAAACACCAGTTGCAAAAGTAACAGTTGCAACACAGACAAAAAAGGTAATAAATTAAATGTATATAAATTTTAATATTAATGCCATTTTATTATTAATACCATAAATACTCTTTTAGGGAATAATTGTTCCCTAAAACACTATTTATGCATTAATTTGCCCAGATGAGCTCAAGGTAGGATATCCATCTACTAGTATGAGAGATCTGGATATTGATCTGGATCCTCTTGAATTTTATGAGCAGTATTGGTCAATATGTTTCTTAATTTGACTGCAAATCAAGTGCCCAAAGTGGACATAATGGAAATTGGTTCATATAACCCTTAATATATAAATGCTCACAGCATTTATAAGCCAATTATTCAGTTTATACATCAACATATTCATCTCAGTTGAAGATAGATATTATAAGGTTCTTTTTCATTATGCGTTATAATTTATTTAGCTAGAGGTGAAAGGCATGTGACATTGTCTTTCTGCACAGTAGCTATTATTGGAAGAAACATCAAAACTAAGTCTTCATCTATGCAAGATTTATGGGGTATGATCTATTTGTATTTCTGCAACAAAGTGAATCGATTAATGCTAAGAAATATTGTTAAGAAATTAAAACAATATAAGATAAACTATACATTAAAGAGCCAGCATTGGTGAATAGGTATGGTGTATGGTGCAGCTGCACGACAAACCAGGCCACATGATGGATGATAGACAATAAAAAACAATTGACAGAATTGAACTGCAGAATTTTCCCTCATTCAACTTATTTTCCAGACCTTTTGTCAACAGATTACCATGTTTTTAACATCTTGATAGTTTTCTGGAGGGAATCTTCAGCAAAGAGGACACTGTAAGTAGTGCATTTGATGAATTTTTGACCTCTTGTTCTCCTGATGATTATCGTATTAGTGTTAATACACTTATATTGTATTGAGTTGATGGAGACTAATTTGATTGCGTACACATATATTAAATTTCATTAATTAATAAACCTTCAAATTCAAAAATAAAAATTGGCAATTTCATTTGCAGCAATCCAATAAAATATTTTTCTATTTTATACAATTCCGTATCTAAGTTTTAAAGCCTATTAAAACTGTTTTCAACATTAATGAATAATTACTAATTTAATTATTGAAATTATTTTATTTTCATGTTTATTTATTCTAATCATTATCCAGAAATGTAGTTTAAAAATGCTTTGCTACATTGTTATTTTTTTTAATGTATGGGAAACTGAAAAAGCAATACTATAGTCATTTCTTATTGTTTTAATTTACTGCATTTGTATTTGTGTCTAATAAATATAAATACAAAAAATTAATTAAAATAATAAATATCTATATAAAAATTCAGTAATAAATAAATAAATAAAATGTTTCTAATTTTATGCTTATTTTTAACTAATAATTTTTTATACAGTTTGGAGGAATGGGAAAAGAACTGGAAAACAACAATGAGTGCAATTGTAGTGCAAAATATTCAAAAATATTCAGAGATTTTAGAGAACGATTAGAAACTGAACATAAAGAAGATAAGGAAAGATCTTTGAAGGATCTGACAGAAAGGGTAAGTTCAAAATACATGTAATAAGAGCATATTAATCAGTTTACAGCTGGTTTATAACAAATATCCATTGTAAAATTACATTTAGCTATACAAATCCATTAATGAAGAATGTAGTTTGCTCTGCTATTCAAGTATCTGCTAGATTCAGGTTATATATCACTGATTAATTCTGAACAATTAAATTATAACACATTCAGTTAAAAAGCAAAATGACATCAGAATCTAAATAGAATTTTCACAGTGAGCAAGTAAATACAAATTGACATTTACGAAAGGTTGCTTTCCAACAGATAGTGATTCAATTATATATAAAATTAAAAATGCTAACAACAAGTTAATTTGAGATGTATTTTATGAATAAGAATTCCTTAAAGTTTTAAAATAAAAGGATGGATTTAGTTTCAATAATTTTACATTGGTTGATTGATTCACCTAACTTCAGTCTGTTTGAAAATTCTTTATTACTTTATTATTTTCTAAGTAAATGAAGACCTTAGAAGCTATTTCTGCAAAGAGAATGTTGAAAGGAATGATTTTTAGTTGTAAAATATAAGTCTAAATGTTTACACTAAGCACTCTAAATAGCTATACATCAACCAAAGCCGAATATTATTGGGCTAGAAACAGCTATAATACTAATGATTTAATAGACAATTTGGTATTAGAGTTAGGTGTTAGTTCCATCTCTTGATAAATGTAATAATTATAAATTAATTAAATAATTTAAATAATAATTTTAGAATTACTGGAAGAAAAGAATCTGCCTAAAGTGGGACTCAAACCCGCAACTCCTGCTTACCATGCAGATGCATTGCCAATTACATTACCCAGACCTTTGGGGTAGTGTAATTGGCAATGCATTTAATGCTATATATCGTTAACTTATATATTCTAACGATATATAAGCTAACGATATATTAGTATTATAGCTGTTTCTAACCCAATAATATTCAGCTTTGGTTGATGTATAGCTTTAAATGTATCGGGTGTAGTAAGGATGTTTGATTATGCACTCTAAATATTTAATGTGTTAAAATCTTTAAAAATCTTTAAGAATCTTTAAAAATATTTTTGTGAAAATGGCTTCATTACATTTTAATATAAAACAGATATTTTAAGGAATTGTAAAAATTTCACAGTTGATGAAAAATTCACAACAGAGTCAACTCTAAGGAGGATAAACTCCGACTTTAGCAGCGGCCTACAAGTAAGTCTGTTGTGAGGTATATGCTTTATTGTCTGTGGAAATTTTTTCATCAATTGTGAACATTATTATGGTTTTTTTGAAACATTTATTTTAAATTTGTATAAGGTAAGTTTTTGGAGAGTGATTAATTGTACATTGTAGAATATTTCACAAAGTATGATTTTATAAGATTAGTAATAAATTAAGTCAATAATTTTGATTAGCATAGTATTCACAATTTTATTTCAAATTAAAGATTAAAAACAAATTTATTGTACTAAAAACTGATAGATACAGGGTTCCTACGCACCTGGAAAGTCAGGGATTTTCATTAGTCGTTGTAAAAAGTCGTGGAATTTCAAAGAAAAAAGTGAGGAGAAGTTGGAATTTGTTTCCTTGGTTGCCTTGTTGATTTTGTTTGCTGACAGTATGGCTGACCAAGTGTAGCTGTCTGCAGGCAGCAAGAAGTATTGTGGTACAATGCAACTTATAAAAAGGAGTGCAGAATATTTACAGGATCCAAAATTTCACCCAAACACAAAATTTCCTCAAAATTATAGCATACAAAATATACAAGCATACAACAGTATCAATTGTTATTTTTAAATTTTAAAATACTTTTAGATTTTAAAAAGATATTAATTATGCAGTATTATAAGTTTGAGAGAAAAATCTAATACTCCTAATAATCTAACTTTAATAAAAATTTTTGAAAAATTGTAATCTCTCTATCTCTCACAATTTACACTTTCAATTTGAGGGCAGGTGTTATTAAACTGATGAAAACAAATGATAACAATGAACCAAAAATGATAAATAACTTTAATATTAATTCAAATGGTATTATTTATCATATTTCATTTTAATAATTTTGATTGCACAATCAAAACAATTTCTGATTTCTGAAACTTTTTCCAGTTTATTAATATTTTATAAAGTTTGAAAATTTATTAAGGGACAGATTTAATAAATTCATACTTTTGTACATGGATTATACAGAATTTTTTAATAATAATTAATGGCTTTCTTTTTTCAAAGCCATGAAGTTTTGCAGTTATGAGTTAATAACAGGATAAATTATTTTTATTTAATAAAACATTTTACTTTTATGTAGAGAAGACATCCCATAATTCTTTCTTATTTTAATTTGATTAATTCATTGATAATAAAAATTATATAACTGTTAATTAGAAAAAGTAATTAGTTAAAAAGTTGGAGAGTAATAGTGTATGTGTGGAGTAAGTCAAGTGATGTTTTAGTTTGTTAATGTGCCATACCATGAAGGATGTGATAGTCAGGGAAAGTCAAGAAATTTAAAACAAAAATTTGAGTAGTAACCCTGTACATATTTTTTAAACTTTAATTCCATTGGAGTAGAATTCTTTTATTTTGATATTTATCAAGTAATTTTGTAAAAGAATGGAAAATAATGTCACAATAAATAATTGGTCATTATCATCACAATACCAGGCTGCTATTTTTAATCATATTTCTAATTAACTTAATTTAAATTATATGTTTTCCACTTCAAATTTGTAGTGTCTTGCCCCTGTACATCATACTTTTCTTATTAGCAATAGAGTTGTGCCAGTCATTTACATCAGGAAAAAATTTTTGAATTGAAATAAAGTGACTTACAGAAGTTCATATATTCTAAAGGTAAAAGTGAAGAGAATTCTAAATTTTAGAATTCTCTTCACTTGCAGCATGGCCAGTGGCTCAGTGGGGACGTGCTGGTTTTATAATCATAATGTTGGTGAATCTTGATGGTATCAATGTTGTTTTTTCCTAAAACTATAATTTTCACTTTATGATTGGCATTTTAAAATTTGTTATACTGTTGGAGAAAAAAACTGATTTATTTTTACAAAACTACAAATTTACAACAAACAGTAGTAAAATAATAAATTCCATCTGTTTCAAGTAACAAGTGATATCTAACAATATTTATTTAAAAGAAAACATTTTCTATATATGCGTGTACAGATCTTACTTATTCTGGCAACAAAACCTTTGTTTAACCTAAATGTATCTAATTGCATCTTTGTTTGCTAGAGAACAAAAGGACAACTTTGATATCTTGTGCTAACATTAATAGCATAGAAATGTGTTCTGCAGATGAATAATTGCATGACAGTATTATAGATTTACATATTGTGAAAGCATCCTTCCAAATTAAGACCTAATTGCAGCTGATGGTTCTTGATCAATTTCAGAAATTGCAAAGGCAGTAGGAAAAAAAACATTAAGTGCTCTGATATTTTTTAATGTGATACAATATGAGTGATTCCCTCCAAATTAGTTGATGATGGAGAAGTTTTTTAAACATCAATCAAGTTTGTGTTTCCAGTGAATAGTATGTAAATCTTATTATAAAAATTTACATTTATTCAATGCGCACGTTACAGAAATGTTTATTGTTTCACATGCTTCTACAAAAATTATCATCCACAAAATTGTGCCCCTGGAAAGCAGAATTAATAATGTTGTTATTAATAAAATTAGCTTTTAATAATAATTTTGTTTATATCTAATCCTCTTCCCAAATAAATTATAAATAAATGTTAGTACAGATCCTATATGTACATGAATATTTGAAAATAATTTTTAAATAAATATAATAAATTTAAAAATACCAGGAGAAACAGTTGATTGGCGACACAATGCCAGCTGTTTACAATTGTCCAAATTGGCCATAACTAAGCTGGGTGGGTAATTTTGAATTGTGAATATACTGATATTTTGAATAATGTATAATGAGTTTTTAATCAGACATTTCAAATGCATAATTTGAAACATACTGTATAATTATAAACAATTATAAACATACTGTATATATCAGTTTATATAAACAGAACCAGCAATTGTCAAAAATAATTATTAGTTTACATTTCTCATGGATGATCTTCACATGTAAT